ATGTTTTTTCTTTTTTCTCTACATTCTAACCATACGACATGCAACTGGACTAACTATATGAATTTGACTAACACAACTAATGTACTATACATTCATCATTTAAATTTGACTGTACCACATATAATGTTATTTGATCAAAGCTATATGTACGTTACGTATAAGACCTAAGTACTGGATCAGTTCGTATAGTCTCCCAATTTTAGTCCAACTATCTTAAATCATTAATGATATTATGATGTTTTTGATAAAATTATAATGTTTGTAGCAGCTATAAAGACAGGAGAAGGAAGAAGGAGTGTAATGAAATTAGGGGAAAGAATGTTGAAGAACTTCAACGAAATGTTGACCATGTCCGGGAAAGTTGACTTTCCTCAACACTCGAAATGTGGAGTCAGAATCTCGCTCCGGGTGAACAATGAGGCCGGTCAACCACACGGTTTAGTTGTCAGTGCTGCGACTTGTCTCTCAATCCCTCACACTCCTTTGCAAGTCTTCAACGCATTACGAAGCACTGACACTCGTCACCAGGTTCTTTTTTTTTTGTTGTCCTGCATGCATCATTATCGAATTGAAACGAAAAAATAGGAGTCTTAATTCATACAGGTTAATGGGTTAAAAGTAACTAGCATACAATTTCGGTTCGTGATTTTTTTTTTTCTTTTAAAGTCTGAAATGAACATCTATGTGATTATTTTCCACCAAAGAAACATGCATTGATACTTAAAAAGCTTCTACATTTTTTTTTTACCTCACTAAATCTCTGATTGTTGTTTTGAGTTGATTTGCAATAACAAACCACATTTGCATGTAACAGTGGGACGTTCTTTGCGATGGAAACAGAGTCTCTGAGATCGCTCACGTTTTCACCGGATCTAGTGAAACCAACCACCTCACCATCCTCCGGGTATGCATACATTTCCTTGATGGCCAACTAATAATTAAATCTTTAGTTATATAACTGAAATAAAATTGTATATATTCATTTTCAGCCTCAGAAAACACAGAACAGTGGCATATCTATGCCACAATTCTCACTCAAGGACGATATGGTGATGCTACAAGACTGTTACATGGATGCACTAGGAGGCATGATAGCGTACGCTCCTCTCGACTTGAATGCAATGAATATCACTGCCTCCGGCAAAGTTGACCCTGCCAGAATTCCAATCCTTCCATCTGGTTTCACAATCTCAAGAGACGGCCAGCAATCCATGGAGGCTGAAGACGGTGGGACTTTACTCTCGCTGGTTTTTCAGATCTTTGTCTCTGATGAAATCGACAGGATGAAAGAGGTGAATGAGAAGTCAGTGGCCATAGTAAGTGCTTTGGTGAGCTCCACTATTTGAAGGATCAAGCTCTTGCTTAATTGTCCTGATCATGCTTGAGTGAGGGAATATCCTCTGAATGATTTTCTCCCCTTTTGTTATTGTTGCTGTTAAAGACAATTTTATTTTTGTCTGGTTTTAGATTACTTGGATTGGTTATCATGGTTTTCAAGGACAGGCTTATTATGGGGGATTTAAAGTTTTTTTTTTTTAAATGTTTTGGACCGTTTGAGTGGTTACAATAATTTTTCCATATTTTGAAGGATAGATGTTTTTTGGCTAATATTAAAGATATATGTTTGATAAATATATAGCGATGCAACCTTGGAAAATGATTAAACATTTGATAAATAATAAAATGGTGAAATAACAATATTTGAAGTTAGATGTATACAGTATAAAAACATCGAAATGTGACTTTATCGGTTTACTTTTGTTCAAATAACGAACAAAATTTTAGAAAAATACAGAGTGACGAAGCCGGACAGACATGCAAGGTGCAACATGTAGATTTGTAATTGGCAAAGTCTATCGTTTTCGATGGTACATAACAATAAACCGTCGCATTAAATCTTGGAGAAGAGAAATAAATTTGATCGTTGATTTGATTGGATGTTGATCGGATGATTTCTGGTTGACTTTGACTAATCCAAGTATAGAATTGGCCGTTGGGTGTAAACTCGAAAAAGAAAGAGAAGATTTTAACCTTAAATGTTGATTCGGTCAGATAAGACCATTGTTGATGAGATAATCCATAATATTTGGATGGAACTTTAGATTGGATCCTAAATTAAATTTAGCAGACCAAATCAAAATAGATCTAATAATCATAATTATTTTAATGATAGAATGATCGAAGTTGATGAATGGTAAATGTACTCATGGCCGAGGTTAAGATCCTATGTTCACTGAATTATATTATGAACTAGTCAGTTTAGTTTAGTTTTTCACTGAAATATAGTTTTTGGATTAAAAACTTCAAAATTCATGTTTTTTTATTCAAACTAAATCAGTGTTGATCGAGTTGCTGACAATCTGGTTTGCCTAAAAACGGTTCATCAACTTATCCACCAGACCATTTGCAACATCACTAAGTAGTAAAACCGTTTACAGAGTTTTGCAGGATTTTAGATAGATGAAAAGATGATATTCATTTTAGATATTGTTGTAATAGATTCTTTTCTTTTTGAAGCATACCTTTAAATAATTATTTTTATTTCCAATTTATTTTTATTTACATTAAAATTTTGGTATTTATATTTATGGAACGAGCTGTATATATATATATATATAATATAATGAACTAACTAATATTTTATTTTATACTATTTTACTTAAAAATGATATTAATGATTACCTCAAACTTTTATAAATAATTATACTACACTTTAATAAAAATTTAAATATGTGACAGTCATTTAAAAAAATTGCATATAATAAATAAAATATAATAATAATAATAGATATTGTCGAACTGTTGGTTTTAAAACTAAAACATTATAATAAAACTTATAGATTTATTATATATGATAATTTTTTGGTTAGTAGGTAGATCTTGAAATTTCTTCATTTTTATGATTATTTTAATTTTTAAAATCTATAGTATTTTAAATTAATTATAAACTAAAACAAAAAGCTGTTTATTTCATTGGGTTAGTTCATCGTCAAACATGATTCGACCAACAATAAAATAGAAAACAAATCTTCTCCCAATAAATTAAGTTTGGCTATATTGCACACACACACATATATATATATATATATATATATATATTTATTTATTTATATATATTTGGTTCAAACTCAATACATTTGTACACAACAAAACGCTATTTTATATCTCTGACTTTGATACATATTTGAATTAAATAAAATAAAAACTTACCATTTAACATATAATGATACCTACTCGAATAGTAAATATCCATATTTTTCTTTTTTTTTTCTTTTTATGAACTTCTCTTACAACCACCATTTTCCATATAAATGCTAATTAGCTTGTGAATTATCAAAAAAGACAGCATTATTACAAAAACAAATCTAGATTTTTTTTTTGTGAAGGCTAAAATGGATTGTGATGGTGGTGGAAGCTCAGGCAACGCACAACAAACTTCGGTAGATGCCAATAAAAGAGAGAAGAGGATTTGTCTCCGCCACACTCCTCATCAAATCTAGAGACTTGAAGCGTAAAATCTTTATTAACTCTATTAATTTCAAAAAACTATTACGATTTAAGATTATAACAGATTAATTTTTGATTTTCTAAAAATGATATAGTTAATTCATAGAATGTCCTCATCCGGGGGAATCCCAGCCACACAAGTTATTCAAAGAGTTGAATCTCGAGCTGGACCAGATCAAATTTTTGTTTCAGAACAAAAGAACTCAAAGCAAAGTATATATCTACGCAAATCTTTATATAAAAAATATCTTATAATTTATCTCAACAAATTTACATTTTTCTAAAATAATTTTTGATATGCAATATAAGCTAAAGATGAAAGATTGTTAACATACTACTTCGTGGAGAAAACGATCAGATCCGATGTGAGAATGAAGCAATGCTAGAAGTTTTAAAGAATGTGCTTTGTCCAGCTTGGGGAGGTCCTTCTTTTGGTAGAGACGAACATGAACGTAATCTCCAAAACCTGCGTTTGGAAAACACCGTCCTCAAAGAGAAGGTAAATCTTTTATTTCCATTTATCTAAAAATATTTCACTATTATATTTTTGAATCATTTGTGTAAATAGTTTATTTGTTAATTTTAATGTGAAAACGGGACCTTCCATAGAAATAATGGTAAGAAAGGTTGACTAATGTATTATCAGTCTAGCGTTAGTCTGCAGTTAATTTACCTGTAGCCTGCTATTGATCTATATTTAGTATACTTTCAGTTTTATAATGATTTAATCAACCATTATCTATATTTACTCTGTATTTAATATATCATTAGTTAGCAAAAAAAAAATTAAAAAGACACGCTTCTATAAGATTTTCTCATTGTAAGTCATTTTAAATAATTTTCTCTATAACTATGGATATTTGTTTCATCTTTCATCAACTTTGTCATTTAATAAGATGACATACATCTACACTAAAAATAAAATGAGATGTAGTACAATTATACGGTGTATTGATTATGAATATACATATCACATAAGTAGATAGAAACTACTATAATAGTGAAACAATGGAGTAACAACATTACCATGAAAAATGCAAAAGAAGGTAATCGCTCCTAAATGTTTTTTTGTTTTTGTTAGTGTGACGAACTCGCCAACTTTGTATTCTTGAAAAAGCACCAAGAAACAATGGTGGGCTCATCCGCTTCTGCTGAGAGACAACATATCGTTGAAATATGCAGCTCGTACGGAGCTAATTCAAGCAATCTCTTGTTCGAGCCAGGTGGATCTGCAATAACAAACCACATTTGCATGTAACAGTGGGACGTTCTTTGCAATGGAAACAGAGTATTTGAGATCGCTCGCGTTTTCACTGGATCTAGTGAAACCAACCGCCTCACCATCCTCCGGGTATGCTTACATTTCCTTGAGGGCCTACTAATAATTAAATATTTGGCTATATAACTGAAATAAAATTGTATATATACAATTTTAGACTCTGAAAACTGAGAACAGTGGCATATCTATGCGACAATTCTCACTCAAGGACGACATGGTGATGCTACAAGACTGTTACATGGATGCATTAGGAGGCGTGATAGCGTACGCTCCTCTCGCCTTGACTGCAATGAATATCATTGCCTCCGGCAAAGTTGACCTTGCCAGAATTCGAATCCCTCCATCTGGTTTCTCAATCTCAAGCGACGGCCAGCGATCCATGGAGGCTGAAGATGGTGGGAATGTACTATCGATGGTTTTTCAGATCCTTGTCTCTGATGAAATCGACAGGACGAAAGAGGTGAATGAGAAGTCAGTGGCCATAGTGAGTGCTTTGGTGAGCTCCACTATTCGAAGGATCAAGCTCTTGCTCAATTTTCCTGATCATGCTTTAGTGAGGGAATATCCGCTGGATGATTCTCTCCCCTTTTGTTGTTGTTTCTGTTAAATATTTTTATTTTTATCTGGTTTTGGATTACTTGGATTGGTTATCATGGTTTTCAAGGACAAGATTATTATAGGGGATTTAAAGTTTTTTTTTAAATGTTTTGGACCTTTTGGTTGGTTATAATAATTTTTCCATATTTTGAAGAATATATGTTTTTTGGGTAATATTAAGGATATATGTTCGATAATTATATATAACGATGCAACCTTAGAAAATGATTAAACATTAGATAAATAAATAAAATGGTGAAATAACAAGATTTGTAGTTAGATGTATATAGTATTAAAAAAATCGAAATGCAACTTTATCAATTTACTTTTGTTCAAATAACAAACAAATATTTAGAAAAATACAGAGTGACAAAAAATGTTGACAGTGAAAGAGAAGACGAAACCGGACGGACATGCAAGGTGCAACTTGTAGACCGGTAATGACAATAAATCGTTGCATTGAAACACTGTAAATATATCAAGTTATTGTCCTAAAAAAAAAAAGAATGAGATTCTTTAAGGTAAAGTTCAACTCTCGACTTTATATATGGAGCAGCGGCGTTGGATCCATGGAAGTTGAAGCTCAAGGGAAGAGATTTTATGTTCATTCAATGTGAGAACCGAAGGCTGCTTTGGTGCTCTATCAGAGTGTTTCTTGATTAATTCTTGGTCTTTGAATAAAGTGTTCCAACATTTGGAAGTAGATTGCCATCAACCCAATGTCTTTTTCCGAACCCTAAAAAGTATCTTGTCTGCCAAATCTGGCAGAGCATCAAACACCATCATTGTTTTTTTCTCTTATGATCTTTGATTTTAGAAGAAGAAACGAAAGGTGATGAGTGCTCTGTGATGTTAAATTAGGGTTCTGAGTCTTTTGACTTTCACGTTTGCCACATGTCTTACTTAAGAGCATTTCCAACCCACCTTTAAATCCTCAAATTTTAAGTTTTTTTTTTTGTTTCTAACCCACTCTCAAATCCTTATTTTTAAGGGCGTGAATAGTAGATTCTCAAATTTGAAGTTTCATTGTTCAAAACCTAAAACCACCTTTTGCTTTTCATTTTAGTCATTCTAATTTTGTATATTTTATAAATAATCTAATTAATTTATTCTATTATCATACATCTCATACATATTTTAAATATATATCTAGAAATTTAAGTATCATATAATAAATCAAATAAATACACTAGTTTTTCTAAACACAAATATATAAAAATATTAAACAAAAGAAAACAATTTCCCACAACAATAATATTATATATGAAAATTAAATTACATTAACACATAAATATAACACAAATTAAGATTCATATAAAAATACTATTATTCAAGTAATTTTGATCCTGAATCTCCAAGATCAAGAAAAACTTGTCCATAAAAGTTTGGCGTCGTCGAAGATTAGTCTTGTTGTTCTTGAGTTCTTTTTTGGATGATTCTTCCTTGTTTTAATCGAATAAACCCGTGTGTATTATGAGTTCAAACTTGTTAACAATATTTGAGCAATCTCATAAGTCTTGTCCGTACTTGATGTATTGTCTTTCAAGAAATTAATAATTTATTCATTTGATGAAATCCAATTGTCAACAAATTAATCAATTTTTTATTCTTATAATTAATCAACCGTATTTTTGGAAAACAAAAGTGCATTATATTGGATTCAAACCGACGGCCCATCTTTTTTTGAACCTTATAAATATTGAGGACTATAATGCAAAATTTAAATTTTTTTAAGAATGAATTTGAGGTTTTACCATTGAAGCAATGTAGCCTTAAATCCTTATTTTGAGGATATACCGCCCTCAAAATAAAGTTTGTGGTTGGAGATGCTCTAAGATTAAAATAAAAATAAAAATAACTTCCAATTTTACTCTTATTCATATATAAATTTTTTATAAAATTTAATAATTTGTCATTTATTTCAAATTTATTTAAAAAATAGAACAAGAAAGAGGTAAATATATATACATATATATATATATACATACTGCATAAATTCACATATGGCATGATTTATATGTTTTAAGTCTTTTGTCATGACTCCTAAAGAGAAACATAATTTCATGTTATTTGTTTTAAAATAAGTTTTCTTACGTCACATGACGCCATCCATTTAAAAATAATAGGAATAATAATAAACGTTTATGTATATTAACTGTTGTTTAGAATGAATGTTTGTGCAAATTAATATATTAATTGGAAAATTACGTACTTGATCGGATGATTCAAACTAACTCAATTATTCAAACATGGCAGTGATCGTTGGGTGTCAACCTAAAAAAACAGTAGCTCGGTGACACTATAATTGAAAAGTAGTTTAAAAAATTTATGTCTGAGTAACACATAATTAATTATTTTAAATCTAAATTTTTGTTCGAATACACCCTTTTAAGTGTCCTCATCATGAAGCTTAAAAGTATGGGTTGGATGGATTTTATTATGAACTGGCCAATATAGAATAAGAGATGGAAAGAACCATCGAGCTTGAAAATTGGTGAAGAGAAATAAATTTGGTCATTGATTTGATTGGATGTTGATAAGATGATTTCTGGTTGAATTTGACTAATCCAAGTATAGAATTGATGGTTGGGTGTAAACTCGAAAAAGAAAGATAATATTTCAACCTTAAATGTTGATTCGGTCAGATAAGACCATTGTTGATGAGATAATTCATATTATTTGTGTGTAACTGTGGATTGTATCCTAAATTAAATTTAGCAGACCAGATTAAAATAGATCTAATAATCATAATTATTTTAATGATAAATTGATCGAAGTTGATGAACAGTAAATGTACTCATGACTGAGATTAAGATCCTATGTTCACTGAATTCTATTATGAACTAGTGACTTTAGTTTAGTTTTTCACTGAAATACAGTTTTTGAATAAAAAACTTCAAAATTAATGTTTTTTTTATTCAAACTACATCAGTGTTGATCTAGTTGTTGACAATTTTGTTTGTCTAAAAACGGTTCATCAACTCATACACTCCTATCATAGTCCGACCATTTGCAACATCACTAACTAGTAAAACTGTCCACAGACTTTTGCAGGTTTTGAGATAGATGAAAATATGATATTTATTTTTGATATTGTTGTAATAGATTCTTTTATTTTTGAAGCATATCTTTAATTAATTACTTTTCTTTCCAATTTATTTTTATTTACATTTAAAGTTTTGGTATTTATATTTATGGAACAAGCTATAGATATATATATATACATATAAAAATATAAAAAACTAACTAATATTTTATTTTATACTATTTTACTTAAAATGATATTAATGATTACCTCAAACTTTTATAAATAATACAATACTAAAATTTAATAGAAAGTTGAATATGTCAGTGATTTAAAAAAAAATCCATATAATAAATAAAATGTAATAATAATATTAGATACTTTTGAATTATTGGTTTTAAAACTAAAACATCATAATAAAATTTATAGATTTATTATATATGAAAATAATTTTTTTTTGTTATTAGGTAAATGTTGAAATTTATTCATTAAAATCTATAGTATTTTAGTTTTTTAAAATCTATAGTATTTTAAATTAATTGTAAACTAAAAGAAAAAGTTGTTTATTTAATTGGGTTGAGTTCATCTTCGACCAACTATAAAATAGAAAACAAATCTCCTCCCAATAAATTAAGTTTTGCTATATTTACATATATATATTTGGTTCAACATCAGTACGTTTGTACACAACAAAAACGCTACTTTATATCTCTGATCCTCATACATATTTGAATTAAATAAATTATAACTTACTTTTTAATATATAATGATACTCACTCCAATAGTAAATATCCATATTTTTCCTTTATATGAACCTCTTTTACAATCACCCTTTTCCATATAAATGCTAATTAGTTTGTGAATTATCAAAAAAAAAGATAACATTATTACATAAACAAATCTAGATTTTTTTTTTGTGAATACCAAAATGGATTATTAAAGAAGGACTTTTGCAAGTCTTAACTCAATCCCTCTCTAATCAAATGTGGTATAGAAGAGGTTTAATTGATCCATCTAGAAGTTAGAATAAAAGAGATGCAAGGTACTAACTAAGTTTAACCATGTATGATAAAATTGGATGATTCTAACAACCTAAGTGATCAAAGATGAAATGCATGCACAAAAGAGCAAACTAACAAGACTAAAGCAAAGTTTGAAAAGCAAAGAAGCTAAATGAAACAGGAATCAAAGAAAGCAATGAACTAAATTCAAGAACTAAAATGAAAGCTAAAAGCAATAAATTTGTGCAAGGCAAGAAATGAACTAAGAACAACTTAAATGAAGCAAAACAAAGTGCAACTAAAAACAGAACACAAAATGATGAAAAGCAAAGAACAATGAGGTGCTGGTTTAAGGCTAGAGCATGATGACTTGGGGATTACTTAGCATCAAACCTAGGAAAATCAAGACTAATAACAAGCAAGACTCATAATCAAGCCACTAATTCAATTAATTTGCAATCAGAGCAAAGATGTCTAAGTAATGCACATGTCGGACCCACTTGTGATGGCGTATTTTTACAAAACCAGCATGATAACACAAGGATCTTAAAGACCAAACAATGTACTAAGATGCAATATAATCATCCAAGCAATTATCCCAAGCATAGTTCTTTCATGCATTTAAACAAACACTTGTGATGCAGCAAACACCTATAATCTATTTCACTTAAACGAGCTACTCAAGCCTTAAGAACAACTAAACAAGGTAAATCAAGCAAGGGTTAACACAAAACGCCCTAAGCTATCAACTAATCATCCCCAAATCTGCTCCAACCTCAAACCATATTAAACTAATCACAACGCATCATGAAATCAACATAAACAAGCAGAAAAGACAGATCAAACATGATTAAACAAGAACTAGAAGAAAACTACCAAAAGAAGTGCAAAACTTTATTAAAAGAGTGATATTAATCAAAATCTCACCAAATCCCCTTTTGAGTTTCCCCTCAGGTCGAAAAATAAGATAAAGAAGAAGATAAG